CCGCCGGGGGCTTCTGCGATTGACCGAAAGCGGCTGGACCGGCGCTCCCGCCCGCCCCCCGCCCGCCGTCTCCTCCAATGGGAGGGCGGCTTTCCAGGAGGGCGGAGGCAACCGTCGGACTGACAAGAGGGCCCGGCCAATGGGGGTGCGAGCCGGGGCTGCCGCTCGCGCGGGCCAATCGCAGACAGAAGCCGTGGGGGTGGGCGGGGCCCGGGCGGGCGGGGCGGGAGCGAGGCGGCGCGGGGAGGAGGCCCCGGCGCAGCGGCAGAGGCGGCAGCGGCGCCCCTCTGGGTGACTTGGCCGTGAGAAAGTGAAAGGAGCCCGCAGGCGGCGGCGACAGCTGCACGGGGAGGGGCTTGTTTCCAGGCTCGGAGGCCTGGCGCGCCCTGGGGGTGCGGAGCAAGCCTCTCGGTGTGCGCCGTGACCGCATAAATACACTTTTCACCGTAGGGGGGCTCGGCTGCCCCAAGTTACGCAGGTATCCTCGGGAGGTAGGGCGCCCGGGGACACGGAGGACTCGGGTCCGGCGTTAGGTGGCTCCCTCCGCCGTGGGTGACGACGCCCAGGTCGTCGCCCGCCCGGGCGCAGGGAGCTGGCTGAGGACGTGCTCGCCGCGTCCTGCGCAGCCGGCTCTCCAGGTGCACCGGGGGCGCCGCGGCCGGCCCGCCCGAGAGGCGCGGGTTCTGGGCGGCGTTCTCCGTGCACCGTCTGCTTGCAGGCAGAGCTGCGCGCCTGCATTTCTCGCGGAACCCTCCTGGCACGTGTGTACTTGCGCTGTTACAAGTAGGCATTCCCAAGTGACCAAATTTTAGAGAACTATTGCAAAATTGATACTTGTCGAAACCCTAGCCTGATTCCTTAATTGGTACGTATCAAGCCACAACGTTAAACTACCGAGGGAAGATGTAAGGCTGTTGTACCGCTTTTCCCTCCCTTCAAATAAACTTATTCGATTCTTGTTTGCAGTTAAACTGTTCATCCGGCCACGAAGAAAACGTAGAAACTTCTACCCTCGAGAAGTTGGAAACCTTGTTGAGGAGGCAAGAATTCCGAGTAAAAAGTTGAATAACAAGTGAAAAAATGCTTCAAGAATATAAAATAGAAAACTGCAGAGTGAGGAAGTCGGTACACTAGTAATTGTCAAAGGAAATGTGTTTATTCTTTGCTAACTGAACCGGGACTGGCAAGCCTGTTGCTAACCAACTTGCCAGGAGACCTTTCAGCTGGGCGAAATGTGCTTTCACTTTGTTCCAGGTCAAATGGGTAAACTAAGTTGGAAGCATTGTGTGGGCAAATCAGACATGTTGAATTACTAATGAAGTGAAAACAGGAGCACACACAATTCCTGGAACTGAAATGCTATTGGAATATCCTGGAATATGCTAGAAACAGTAGTGATGTTCTGCTCTTTCTTCAACCTTTTCATATGCCCTCATGAGTGATCACTGAAGTCAAGGCCACCCACGATAACTAGAGTTTGTCGTTCCATGAAATATATTGTTGTATCTGTGCTTTTGATGAATTCTAGATCTTTTAGTCTGTTGGTAGAAGGCCCAATTACAGTCTGACCTGTTTCAAGTTAGGGAAATTTATAAATGTTGTTGATGGATGAAATACACTCTTAAAAAAAAAGATGTGAAAAGGAATACATTGCTTTGCCAACAAGTGCAGGAAAAAGAAACGTTTGCATTCTCAAAGCTGTTTCTTACCTACTGAAAGTTAAAAATAAGGCAAGTAAAATACAGTAATTGATAGTGTCAGGATATTAAATAATAAATTCATGAGAAAATTAGAACAGTCATTATCCACAAAAAGCTTGGAAGCTCGGCACTATGGCGTGTAGAGCAGAGTTACAGCTCTAACAAAAGGTTTTATAGAACGCACCTGCGAGTAGAATAACAGCCCCAGAGATGTGCAGGGGAGACACCAAAAGTTGTGAGCATTGTTTTTCAGATCTAACAGTCATTGCTAGAATCCATTTTGAGAGCTGAGTAGTGTAGCCAGGAAATATAGATTAAATGGATATTTAAGGAAGCAAGTATGTCATCCCTCAATTATGTAAAAGATTTTATAAATTTATGAAAATGCATAGAATATTCATACATTGTCAGAACCAATAAAAATGTTTCTGGAGTATTTATTATGTTCAAGGAAGACGACAAAAAAGTATGAGACAGGTTCTCTCCTTCCTGGGGTTTAAATTTAGTTGGGAAAGAAATGGTGCAAATATATAAAAATCTGAAACAATAGAGAAGTTAAATAACAATATAATTGTATATGAATGTTAGAGCTAAATTGAATATTCATTGGTTACAGCCATCTTATTCCTGGTCCCTGGTGTGGTTGTATTTTCTCTGCCCTTTTTT